GCCCCTCGCTACCCATCATTCTAAAGGTTCCATACTCCCAGCAATTTAGTTTATAGACCTCATGGTTGACTGTGTACACCGAATAAAAACATACGCACCTTCTCCCACATTTACATGTATTTAACAGTCACGTTTCACGCCAGCCCACGTGCACATTTGCACGTTGCACGTGTATGCATTCAGAAGTATTTATCTAGCACCTTCCACATGCCAGGCCCTGGGCTTTGCGCTGGAGCCACCGGACATTGAGATGACCGTGGACAACTCCGGGACCTGAGTCTCTTAAGGAAAACAGATGTCATTTGTTTGCAGAATTCTGCCTTCTGAGGGGTGTTAGCGTTCACGGTTTGGGCGCCAAACGGGGTCATTCCGCATTCCTTCTGGTTTCCGGACTAGGAGCAATGGCTGAAATGCTTTTTTCTTTTCTTTCCTTTCTGGTGCCAAGAGCCTCGCCTCCCACCGCCAGCCCTGGCCCGCCCTGGGCAAGGACGCCGCTCTCCTTGGCAGCCTGGCCGAGACGCTGCCTGAATGTGCGCAGGAACTCGGGGAAGGGAAAGGGAGAACGGAAAAGAAAGGCTGGGGAGGAACCCGGGAAGCAGTGGGAGGTCTGCGCCCTTGTAGCCCCGCGCTAGCCGGCCCGGGTCCCTTTGGCACGAGCTCCTACCGGGCTGCCAGGCGGCTGAGCAAAGGCGGGCCCCGACACGCACCCGGCCTTTTGTGGGAGAGAAACACAAAGGAGAGGGAAAAACACGTCTTCCGTTTTGACGGAGGAGACCGACAGTTCCAGGAAGCCTAAGCCAGCCAGGAACTCCCGGAGCAGGGCCGATTAGCCTCGGCAAGTGAGCGCTCAATTTCGCGGGAAAGGGCCGCGGCCCAGCTGCGCCAGTGGGTGGGAACGGCGGTGCCGGGGCCCCTCCCAGGACGTGCACCCCAGGCGCCGGGCGCAAGAACTGGACAAGTGCCGGGAGACGCCTCCAGGACGCAAGGTCAAGAGCCAGTAGCCCAGCTCTAGTTTCCAATAACTCCTAGTTGGGGTAGGACTCCGGGACACAGCGAGATGCGTCCAGCGACCCATTTGCCCCTGAGCTAAAGCAACCCAGGGGGACACAGTCCGCCCCCACCTCCCGTGAAACTCTGGCGGTAGGAGGATGTTGAGGGAGGCTGCCTGGAGAAGGGGACTGCAGCCCAGAGTTGCCAACCCGAGTTCCGGGCGTGGGGCGTGAGGACCGTGAAGTACCGCTGCACAGCCCCAGGAGAGCCACCACTGCTGCCTCCGTTCGGTAGCGCGGGGCTGGAGCCTGGATTGTCCTTATGGGCGTCCACGCGGGAGCCTGGCGAGTAAGCCAGCTCTCCAGCCTCCGGACTCTGCCTTCCCAGGCTCTAAACTCGCGCTGTGCCAGGGCAGCCCCCTCAACCTTCACCCCAATTTCCAACTCCAGCCCCTGGAGCAAGCGCTTCAAGAATCCGAGACCGCGCCCTCCGGCGATCGAACGCAGGACCCTCACCGGCTGCAAGCAACCCCAGAAGGAATTGGGGCTCCGGGACACGTGCCACCCGCTGGACGAACCTCAGCGGCTGCCACCCGGGGCGCGCGCTCGTTGTGCCTGCTGGTGTTTATTAGATACACTGGCGTGAACACAAGTCCACGCCCAGGCGGGTAGCCCAGTGCGCACCCCCCCACACGATTGTCCTCACTGCCGGTGGCCCGGGAGGCCCAAAGGAATGATCCTCAAATAACCGAGCCCTTCCTCATCCCCACTCCCCCTCCCCCCGTGTTCCTCACTGTGACAGATTCTCCTAATTGAGCGGTTATGGGTCATCCTCCAGAACCGTTGGACGACATATCTCCACGCTTCAGTTCTTCATGTTTTAAATACATATTTAACGGATGGCTGCAGAGCCAGCTGGGAAACACGCGGATTAGAAAAAATAGTGCTCCAGAAGGCACGAGATTGGGGCGAAGGGGAGAGCCCACTGGTCTTTCTGGCGTAAACTTTCCAGGGAATTGGGAGCAATATTGTGGGTTTCTTTTTTTGTGTTTGCTTATATTGTAACTTTGCTAACTTGAAGGCGAATTGCTTACTATGTTTATTTGATTGCTTGTTTTTAAGCCGTGCATGCAAATTAAAAGCTCCCAAACATCCTAAGTAACCAGAGGACCCTAACTTTCCCTGGGTGAGAGGGCTGGGGTATGTTTCTGAGGGTGCAGTACCAAGGCCTACAGCCCTTGGATCTGCAGAAACAAACTTCTGTACTCGAAGTGTGTGGATGTGAGAGATTCAGCTCAGGGATAAGTTTAGAGATCGCTGGCCGCCTCTACTGTAAGGAACCACCAATGCTGCCGTCTGCAGTCCAGCCAGGCAGGGCTGCTGTGTAAAGGGTTAGCAATTTTTTCTGTGGACTTGCTGCAGACATAGTCTCTCGATTTTCCCATCTATAAAATGGGTAGATGTGTCACAGCACCTCTGAACTGCCGCAGGCCCTTCTCTAGACAGGCTTTAATTCCTTCCGGTCAAGGGTTTCCGGGTCTGGGTAAAACGTGTACGAACGCGGCCGCAAGTGGTTGGCTCTCGCTGTCTGACACAACGTTAAGTCTTTGCCCAGGTCTAAATAACTCATTCTGCAGACAAACTAACATTGCCCCATGCCTCATGTGGTGGTGACCACCACAAAGATGATGCTGAAAATACCCTCATCGGGGTCCCGGTTCATAGCTGGAGGTGGGGGACGAGGTTGCTTAACTCTGGGCTGGACTCTGCCCCTGTAGTAGCGCGATTACTGTGCGGAAAGAACTCTTCCCTGGGTCTACATCACCCTCAACGTTATAAAGAGTTTTGATTTCTTCAAAACATAGTTCTGGAGTCGCTCCCTTCCTTCCTTCCATGTCTTCTGCCTGGCAAGACCCTGCTCCCAGCTGGGGGCGCTACGGGCCGCCCGCCGAGCTACCGCAGCGGCCACCTCCAATACGAGCGCTTAGGGCGAAGAACGTAGGCGCTTTGTATATGTCACCGTTTAGAGTGGGGCCCCAAAAGGCCCACGTGTCGATGAAAACTATGAGACGGGGACAAGCGGACTCAGAACCCAGAGAGAAAGAGAAATCAAGGGAGGAGACGCCAGCCCCAGCTCCTGCGTCGCCAAGATTACCCGCGCGCACCCCAAAAGATCTGACCGCGTAGGGTACCACGTTCGTTTGTCTGCAGAGCTCCCAGCCCACCCCCATCCCCCAACCTGACTCTATATTTTTATACAAATTTGACAACACTCCCTCTCCCCCGCGGTCCCAACCGCGATCGGCCCTCGGTACTTCCGCGCTGAGCCCGCGCTCCCCCTCCCACTCTCGTCTCGCACATCCTCCGCGGTCCCTCCTCAAGTCCCTCCCCAAGAATCTCCGGGCCGCGGACGCCCATTGGCTGCACGCGGGGAGGAGGCGTGTGCCGGGACCCGCGAGTTTCATTGAGCGGAATTAGCCCGGATGACATCAGCTTCCCAGCCCCCCCCCACCCCCACCACCACCCCGCGGGCTCTGCTCATTGGCGCCGAGGCCCCTCCTGGACCCGCACATTGTTCCCCGCCCCCGCCGCGGCCACCGCCGCCGCGGTCGCCGCTGCCACCGGGCTATAAAAGCAGCCGAGCCCGGAAAGGTGCGGATGCTTATTATATAGACCGACGCGACCTCAGCGCCGGGAGCCCGGTTCTCCACTGCGGCTTTTGGGAACGAACTCCTCGAATTGCCTCCACAGTAAGTGTCCCCGCCCCCCAGCAGCCCCAGTCTACATCCCAGGGACAGATGCCCTCCACTCGGCCACGACCCAGGAAGCTCCAATAGAGGGGTCCCTGATCCCAACCCCTGCCTGCCAGTTCCGAGCGCTTTCGAGGCTCTGACCCACCTCACACTCACCGCAGCATCCCTTTCTCCCCAAAGCGAGAAGTCAGGGCGACCACAGCTCCTTCTGCCCAAGTCACCGTCAGCTGGCGAGCTCCCCGCGGCCCCCCGGCGCAACGCACGGAATCTGGGCCCCGCGCGGGCGCTGGGTGCGTGTGTTTACTCCGCGGTGTCGATGGAGATAGGGTGTCTGTGTTTGAGGAACTAAGTAAATACTTCTCTATTTAGAGCTCACCTTCTCCAAAGAAAAACTCTCACTTGGCACTCGTTGATTCCTGCCCTGGAGATCCAGCCTCCTCATTCCTAACTGAAGACATAAAGCCTCTAAATGCCACCCTCACTGAGGGACATCCACTGTCCCCTGGAATGAAACAACCTGTGGATGAGAGCGGAGAGGAGGCTGTGGGGAGGGAAAGAAACGGGTTTCCTATGCGTTACCTGGGTGCCCCCGGAAGGAAGGCCGGAGATCGCGAGGCGGACACGACGCGACCACTCCCCTCCCCGCCCCTGGACCGCGCGCTGCGGTGCAAGCGGGAGCAGCTTTTCTCTCTCGCTTGGCGCTTCGATCTCTATGTCTCTCCTGTTTCTTCTCCTCTCCTCAGGAGGTGTGCGTGGAAGCTCTGAGGGCCGAGGGAGGGAGGACCGTGCGACAGCCGCGACTATCCCTGGGGCCATGGACTCGGACGCCAGCCTGGTGTCCAGCCGCCCGTCGTCGCCGGAGCCCGATGACCTTTTTCTGCCGGCCCGGAGCAAGGGCAGCAGCGGCAGCGGCTTCACAGGGGGCACCGTGTCCTCGTCCACGCCGAGCGACTGCCCGCCAGAGCTGAGCGCCGAGCTGCGTGGCGCCATGGGCGCTGCGGGCGTGCACCCCGGAGACAAGCTGGGCGGCGGCGGCTTCAAGTCCTCCTCGTCCAGCACCTCGTCGTCCACGTCGTCGGCCGCTGCGTCGTCCACCAAGAAGGACAAGAAGCAGATGACGGAGCCCGAGCTGCAGCAGCTACGCCTGAAGATCAACAGCCGCGAGCGCAAGCGCATGCACGACCTCAACATCGCCATGGACGGGCTGCGCGAGGTCATGCCTTACGCTCACGGCCCGTCGGTGCGCAAGCTCTCCAAGATCGCCACGCTGCTGCTGGCGCGCAACTACATCCTCATGCTCACCAACTCGCTGGAGGAGATGAAGCGACTGGTGAGCGAGATCTACGGCGGCCACCACGCGGGCTTCCACCCGTCGGCCTGCGGCGGCCTGGCGCACTCGGCGCCCCTGCCCGCCGCCACCGCGCACCCGGCGGCCGCCGCGCACGCGGCGCACCATCCCGCGGTGCACCATCCCATCCTGCCTCCCGCAGCCGCGGCCGCCGCCGCCGCGGCCGCCGCCGCCGCCGTGTCCAGCGCCTCCCTTCCCGGCTCCGGGTTGTCGTCAGTCGGCTCCATTCGGCCCCCGCACGGCCTGCTGAAATCTCCGTCGGCGGCAGCTGCGGCCCCGCTGGGGGGCGGGGGCGGCGGCAGCGGGGGCGGCGGCGGCTTCCAGCACTGGGGCGGCATGCCCTGCCCCTGCAGCATGTGCCAGGTGCCACCGCCGCACCACCACGTGTCGGCCATGGGCGCCGGGAGCTTGCCGCGCCTCACCTCTGACGCCAAGTGAGCCGACCCGCGCCGGAGCGCTCTGGCGAGCGGGAGATCCGGAGGCTGAGGGGAAGCGAGGACCGGCCGAGGCGGGGGCCGGGGAGCTCAGCCCAGAGGAGGAGCTCAAGACCTTGGGCTGGGGGTGGGGGGCGATGGTGAGGACTCCAGCACTCAACTGTGGGGAGTGAGTGGAGCGACCCGGGTTAGCCCTCTTTAAACAGCGCGGGTCCGTAGACACCATTTTATAAGAAGGCACCGCGATGTCCACCCCTTCCTCAATCCCCCTCCCCTGCAAAAAGAGATGATTCAAAAAACTGATTTCCCGGGGAACACGGACTCACTCAGCCTGGGCTGCACTTCGTTTCGCGGGGTGATGGGGCGGGAGAGGAGCGTTAGGGACTCCCTCTCCGTTCGCCTTTCTTGGCGGGTAGGCGGTTCCGGGAGCAGCGCTCCCGGGGCGGCCGTCGGGTTCAGGCCTCGCAGGCAAGGGTCGTCTCTGGCCTTGGGCCAGGGACTAGGAGTTAGTTGGAAGCTGACATTTGGTACCAGAAGCACTTACGGGTCGTGTCCAATCTCAGTATCTGGTAAACCCACCACCGTTTGAGAGCTGTTGCCAGTCCTCCTCGTCTTACTGGTTTAAGGCTTGTGGTTTTAAAATCTGTCGATGTCCCTTTTTCCACAATACAAACTAGCTTTATAGACAGTCAGTATAGAACCACCTGTGGATTGGAACAACCTAAAACCGTCGGCTTGAGGAGCGGGTGTTTTTCAGTTATCTTTAAATGGAATTCCCCACTCCCCACCCCATTCTTTCTGTCTCTGAGCACAAAGTGATTGGGTTCCTTACCCGACTGGGGCACTTGTGGTGATTGATACCTGAGAGTTTGACAGAACTCAAAGGCTGTTGCTGTGAATATAGTTTGGGTTATTTGGGGGTTCTGTTGGCTTTTTAATTTTTTCTTTCTTGGGTGTGTAAATATAATATCAGCGATGAGGTAAGTGCGTGCTGCTAAGCTGTATGCTCACGTGACTGCCAGTCCTACCCGAGTCTAAGCCGGGTTTCCTCTGTATTGGTTTCTTTTTGCCACGTTTAACACAAATGACAAACTCCACGTGCTTCCTGCGTCCGCGCAAACCGCCTCAGCGCTGCCAGCGTTACAATTGGGCTTCACAGCGTCTGCCACATAACATCCCTCCTCTGACCGCTGCCCCTCGCAGAGAGTGTATCATCTGTTTTATTTTTGTAAAAAGAAAAAAGTGCTAAATAATATTTATTACTTGTTTGGTTGCAAAACGAAATAAATGATCGAGTGTCGAGATTTTAAATAAAATTTAAAGTAAGTCGAGTGTTTTCCAGCCGTGTGGGTGGGAGAAGGTTCGGGTGTCTGGGGGCGAGGGGCAGGGGGTGAGGGACTGTGTCTGTTGGGGCTGGATTTGGGGGCCCTTCCGCTGGTTTCGTACTGGATGAGGGAGCTGTTTATTCTCTTTCTCTTGCCACCCCTTCCCCCACACACATCCTCCAGGTGTTTCTCACAACTCATTTGTTCTTATTTTTGTTTTCTGACGTCTAATCCGGAACTCCTTTCCCCTTCTTTTGAGGATTGAGTTAGTTGAAAGTGAAAATGTCGCTCCCTGCGCGCAGAACTTTGGGCCTTAGGGGCGAGGGCCGTGCCTTGGGCTGGGTGTCCCGGCGCTCAGGTCTCCTGCCCTGCCGGGATTTTATTTTCTCTCTGATCACAGGAGGTTGCTTGCCAGCCTCCATGCTTCTCAGGCGTCTGTCCTAGGCTTCAGAAGCAGACCGGCCACGTGGGGTCCCGGGTCCTCAGTGCCATTGCATTCCCGGCAAAGCGCTGCTTGAGCGGTCAGTGCGGGATCCACTCGCCCTTCGCTTTCTTCCCCAAGCTATACACAACCCTCCCCCGGCGCCCACCCTGGCCTTGAACTGCAAAGAAAGTGTCAGGTGCTGGGAACGGCTAGCTGAGCTAGACTCGCATGAGCTCTCGTCCGGGGCCACCTGTTTTCTCGCGGCCACTAGTCCCTCACAATCCATAACTGCAATACAAATTTGGGACTTGGCTCTTCAGTGAGTCTAGAAATAAATAAGCTTCGACCTTTCCGGTCAAGGAGGAGGGCGGACCGTGCGGCTGTGTCTCCGCCTGCGGCCGGCTGGAGAACGCATGCCCTTGAAAGCACGGAGCAGCGCAGTGGACCCCGGTGTCCGGATCCTGGGCCCTCATAGACCAAATCTTTGGATGGCATCTTTGGTGGCCACCAGCAGACGGTCCCTGCACCTGGGGCACCTAGAGGTGGAGGTTTCCCTGGTTGGGACCCCATTTCTTGAGGCTGTCCCCTGAGCCAGGCCCGTGATGATTCCCCTTGCCCAGGACTAAGGGTGGCTCCTTTCCCCAGTTCTGGGACAGGTGCTTCTGGGTACTCCAGCAGGTAAAGTCGGGCTGCTGGCCAGAACGGCCGGTGTCCAGGGATTGGGTGCTGTAGGCCTTGTACAACTTCGCTTTTCACCCAAGCCTGGAAGAGACCCAGCGGCTGGGGAGGGGACATGAGGGGCCAGTGACCTGAGCAGCAGCACGCGAATCCCAGAAAAGGGTAGAGCAGGATCTAGCAGTTTCATTCCGAAATCCCATTTGAAACGAAACTCGCTAAGAGTACAAAACTAGGTCCAGCTCCAGTCGCAGACACAGAGAGATGCGGAGAGGCTGGAACTCTAATGGGTGGGAGCTGAGAACCCGGCGGCGTGGGGGTGGGGGTGAAGACACTGCTTCCTTAACCCAGGGCAAGGCTCCGGGTGTGCGTGGTGTTTCCGTAGAGGGGAGGTTGTTGAAAGCAAATAAATCAAGTCTTCCTCCCACCCCTGTACCCAAGCTCTTCGCCAGCGGCCAGCAGCCAGCCAGGCTAGACCCGGAACTCCAAGGAAAGAGGGGCTGGATGCAGCCTGGGTTTGGGCCCTCCCCGGAGCCGCCCGCCTAAGCTGCGAGACCAGCCAAGAATCTCGGCCACCACGTGTAAGAGCGTAGCGTCGTCGGATGCGGAGAAGGCACACACAGGCGCACAGGGCAGGTGGCGTCTCGCCGAGGGTGGCCCTGACTAGTGGGGGGCGGGGGTGGACGCGCAGACCCGCGACTGGGCTGCGGGGTGGGGCGGCAGAAGACCGTAGGCAACCACTTTGACTTCCGAGGATTCTAAATTGGGGTCGGTCCCCCACTGAGAAAGGGGAAGCGAAATGGAGGTAAAGAAACAGTCTCAGGCTCGGGGCGGTTGGCAAGGCACCGGCTCCGGTGGGGCCCCTCCCTGGGAGCGTTAGTCCCTGAGGGTCTCTCCTGCGTTGGGCTACAGCTCCCCACACACACACTCTCAGCCGCGGGGTCCGGGGACTTCTGTCACTAGCCCCCAAGGTCTGTGAGATTATCCCCAACCTCCACCCCCACCCTATAGTGTGGCTGACACTAGGTTGAGGGCCTCTATGGCGTCTAGCTTCAGAGCACAGCTCTTGGGCTCATGACTCCTTTACAGGGCAGGAGTCACAGAGAAATGACTGTTGCCTGAACTCAGTGTTGGAGGATGGGCCAGAGCCTCTGAGGTGCTGCGGTTGGAACTCCACGTTCCACGAACAAGCAGTGAGTGGAGGGGCTAAGCAAACCCTCAGACCTAATGTGCATCTCAGTCGGTGGACATGTTGCTGAGACCTGGAGATGTCACTTTGCTAGCGAGGCCTGCGTGGTGTAGGAAGACCTAGGTAACAGGGACGTAAATGACAATCTGGGACTGGGGCAGCCCCGCAGACAGGACCCGTCCTCATTCCCAAACTGAAATCAATGAAGAGCTCAGGGGACAGGCATTACAGACTTTGGGCCAAGTTCCCAATCCCCATACAAGTGTCTCACGGTTATCAGTATGGATTATGGAGTCTTTAACAGGAGACCTACACCAAGGGTCTCAAGACACCTTGTTGATGACAGGTTCCCTCAGTCATTGTTTTTGCAAACCTGTACTGAATCCTGACTCCCACCCCCGCAGGCAAAGGGACCTATGATACAGCACGGTCAGCATGACACTGCTTGGTTTGGAGGCTGCAGACAGCTCTAACACAGGCTGGACCCCTGGGGCTAAGCCCCTCACTCTGTCAGAGTGTCGGGCCATTCTAGGCAGGGCAGAGATGGGGATCACACCCTCACTCACATCCCCACTCCCCATCTCTCAGGGGCCACGCGTTTTTGCTATTTGGCTGCGATGTCCCGCCCGGGTTAAACGGGGAGAGTGAGCTGTAGAGAGAACATAGGAGGCAGAGCTGGGAGCAAGAAAGCGGCTCTAGGCTGCGGCCTCCGGGGAGCTCAGGATGCTAATAACCCGTGAAGGAGGCGCCAACATTTTCTGATGGCTAGTCCTTATAAGGCACCGCGCCGAGAGATTTACGTTTGTTGTTAATTCATTCAATTCTCACAGTAACCCTTTGAGGATGGTGCTATTAGTATTCCATTTTACAGATGAGGAAACTGAGGCAGAGAGCGAGTAAGTGACTTGCTCACTGGCATAGCCAGTCAATGAAGGCGGCATTATTGTGATCCGCGAGTCTGGCTCCAGAGTCCAGGTCGGGTAGATCGCCCCACCCATACCCAGGTACCCTTCGCGCCCAGCAGTCTCCAGATTGGCTCAGCCGCCTCGGGAATCCTTGGAGCTCCAGAGCTGCCACCCGCCGCCCACGCCCCAATCCCCCTAGGTGACCCTCCTGGTGCTCCCGCTTCGCTCCTGGACCCCATCTGTCCTGGACGCCCCTGTCCGGGCAACGGGCAATGCGGAAAGGCTTTGACCATTAGCCGGCCCGGGTGGACGCGCGGAAGGAAGCGCAGAGGAAGGGCCAGGGCGGGTAAGCAGGTGAGTCGAGACGGCCCCTTATTCGGTTGGCTGGCGGCTCTGTGATGAACTGTCGTTGGTGCTCGGAGAGCTGCTGGCCAGCGGGCCGCATCCCCTGCCGGGTAGTGCAGCCCACAGCTGGTGGAGTAATTCGGAAAGGAGTCGCAAACAAACGCCTGCTGGGTCCAGGCCGACACCTGCGGGGTTGCTTGGGCTGCAGGACAAGGCGAGGAAGCGGCGAGCCGGGAGTGTGTGCTCTCTCCTCCCAGGGAACTTCGTGTCCCACTTTACAACGTTCGGGTGGGCCCACTTGACTCGCGGGCTTTCGGTTTGCAACCCCTGAAATTGGCGCTGTTGAAGGGGACGATCTCGCGCGGCTATGGGTTTGGAGGTCGCGCCTTTTTTCGGAGTCCTAGGGCCGCCACGTCGCCGCTTTGCAGGAACGGACTTGCTGGAAGAACCTGCGCGCCGGTGTCCCTTTTTGCCCCTTGCTTCCTGGATCCGCGCAGATAGAAGGCGCGTGGGCACCGACGCGAGACCCGGGTCACCTGGGGACGCTCATCCCTGGCCTCCGCAGACGCGCCCGGTCCTCCGGGTGTCCCAGCGCTGCTCGCCCCTGGCTGGATTGAACAGCGGCCTTGGGCCGCGCGCGGTTTTCCTTCGGGAGTTTTTAGTCCGCGGCGGCCGCACGGCCTCTGAGTCCACTCGTTGTGGCAGGGGTTTGGGGTCCCCGAGAAGGAGGCATGCAAAACCCGCCGAAAGCGCCTAAGTTCGAGTGGGGGCCAAACAACACCCCGAGGGAGCTCTCGGGTCGTGGATGCCCGGCGCTGGAACACCGGTCCATGCATCCAAGTCCGCGCTCGTGGACATAGGCTCGCGCATCGGAGTTCACGCTCACGGGTCCACGCACACCAGCGAGCCTGGAACCTTGAAGCAGTGGCCTTGGTCTGGAATCCCCTGCGGCCTGCTGGGCCCTGGAGGCCCGGTGAGCCAGCGATTGTCCGGTTGAGGGACTGTTTGGGTTACCTTCCTCTTCCTTGGCTGACCCGAAAACTAGGCATCTGCCCCAGTCCACATCCTTGTAGGCCTAGTAGGTGCGGGCCGCCTCCCTGCCCTCTGCCCTCCTCCCAAACCGGTCTGCTTTCTGAGCCCACCTTGGCTGTCGACGTCCCAGAAACCTGGGGTAAGGGCCAGTGGGGAAACAGGTCCGTGAGCAATTCGCTTTCTCTTTTTTTTTTTTTAAAGATTTTTTATTGGGGAATTGGGGGGATGGGAACAGTGCTGGGGAGTTGGGGGAAGGGGAACAGACAAGTTGCTGTCGTTTTGTTCTTCAGTCTAGTTGTGGAGGACGTTGCTTCACTGGCCCAAGTTGGCACCATCACTGCGCTCTTCCTGGGTGAGGCAGATCAGTCGCCGGCTTCTGGACGGCCGCTCACTGTGGCTGCTGGCCGCTCACGCTGGCTGC